TTTTGTTTGTTTGTTTAATTGTTTTGTCTAGTACAGTGATTCTTTACCCTTTTGACTCCAAGGCCCCCATTGTCCACAACAAAATGTGAAGGCCCAAAACCAACTCCTAGTTTCTGTCAATTGAATTGAGGATTCCAGAAGTTTTAAGAGCTGAATGTTCTTCAGGGATCCCATTCTTTTTTTATCCAATGAATTTATTTTATTGTTCATAATTTACTGGATTAAGGATAATGATTTTTAAGAATGTTTTTTTTTACAACACAATTTCTTCCCGATTTTAGATTTGATTAATTTACACTTTTCCAGGTCTAGAAATCACACTTAAAAATATGAAATCATTTTGATGCTTGTTTTAGTCATCTTGAGAACCCTTTAGAAGTTTGCTGATGCCATCTAGAGAACCACTAAGCAAAAATATTTATTTTTAGTATCTTTAGGAAGTCTGGTTCACTCAGTATTTAAGCCTCCCAGACTGTCACATCACCGTCAGCTCATGATAGCATAAACAAACAAAAAAAAAAAAAAAAATTATGTCAGATGTTGAAGTATGTTTAAAAGCTAGCAAAATTTGTGGGGAAAAAATTAAACACATTTCCCTAAAAAATGCAGTGAGGTCATTCTTAGTCGCTCTCTCTCACTCTCTCTGTCACACAAATGAAAGATGACAGTTGGGGCCCAGACTTGCATTGACTTCAAAACTAATAATCTCTATAAAAAGAGCAGATTTCCTGTTTTTTTACACCGAGTCAGGGTGTAGAAAATAACAGCCATTGAAACTTGCTTCACTGTTTTTATTTACTGGTTACACCTCTGTAAGCAGTTTGGCTGCATGTACGCTGAAACTATATCACATGATTTGACCAGTGTCTTTACCATACATTAAAATAACAGGGGAATATCTGTGTTTACATCTGCTCCTTCTCTCTTAAAAAAGAAATTGCTCCACAAACCTGGCCAGTACGCAATTTATAATGTTGTGCGGTGCTTACAAAAAAGTCCTGACTGGAATGATCATGGTTTCTGGGAAGCATGTCTCAGATCTGCCTGCTTCTTATTTCTGAGGGTGCGTGCCCCATTTCTCAATTCTGTGAGTCACAGTTCAGTTAAACACAAAGGAGACCCCACATGTTTTATCATCTCCCCCCTCATGGTCTCTTTCACTCTCTCTCTCTTTCTTTTAACTGAAGTCAGATGTCTCATTCCGGTAACATTACTGTTGAGGGGCCTCAATTTCCTGCCCCTGTGTTTTTGTGGTGTAACTAAACTTCCTAGATTTGGAGTGAGTCCTAACCTGAACCTGATGATTCATCCCATCCCTCTCGTTGTGCCAGCAGGATATAGTTGTTTGAATCACTGATATGAAAACAGCATTCAAAACTTCTCACACACAGAGTTAGTGCTTTTATTGGTTCTGCATCAAGCAGGTTTTACTCTTTACTCATCCTGGTTAGAATCCAGTGTTTGAGTCCAGAGTCTGTGGAGATTTTTGGGCCGAAAACATCTGTTCTATTAGTGATGTTATTAAGGTCACTGTTATTATGGTTTATATTTGGGGATAGAGATTTGAATAAACCTGTTGAATTTCCTTTTTTATTAGTATTAAAATCATGGTTATTATACATTTTTAATTTAGTGTGATACAATTTTCCTATTTTGTTTTTAATTTGTCTTTTTGATTTAGTTAAGGTTTCAGTAGGTTTCACTCTATCATTGTTTCAAATTTTTTTTTTCTCTTTAGGTTTTGTGTTTTAATGGCGTAAAATTTCTCAGCATTATGGTGTTATTGCTATTGTGTGAAATTTTCATGTTTAAAGTCCCTGTAAAGTAAAAATTAAGTATGTGTTCTGAGTTTGTCACACCACAGAAAAATGTTTTATTAGCCACCCAGACAAATTTGAATGATAAAAAAAGCCGGCAAGTACATAAAATAAGCTATCAAAATCTTGAAAAAATGAGCAGTATTCTCTGCTCTCAAACGCTGGGGGCGTGTCCGCTGGCTGCGCTGAAACCACGCCCACTTGCGGGAAAGCAGCCGACGGTGATATTTGTGATACTAGGTGTTTCTCAATGTCAAGGATCCTTCCTTGACATTGAGAAACGGCTACTGCTTTCGGGACGGGGAGATGAAGGCCGAGGCGGGAGATAGTCGGTTCGGCCCCATTCACCAGTAACAGCGGATTATCAGTGAATCCCAGTTGTCTCCGACGAAAGTTTATAAAACTATCCCGTGTAAAATGATCGCTACAGAGGCGGGTGTTGGCGGTGATCCTCAGCTCGCGGTTGAGTGGCCTCAGTGCGTGTGCGTCATCAAGTAGGGCCGTGTCCAGGAGCTCAAGGGCTCCAGTGCGTCATCGAGCCCTGTTTTAGCCCCGCCCAAAAAATCCGGAAAATAGCAATGGTGAAAGACTGTTTAACGGTCTAACTCCACAATTCAGTAATTCACAGTTCACAGTCTTTGTAATATGTTTTAGCAATACATTTCTAACATTTATAATGGGTTTAGATTTTTTTTTTAGAATTGCCTTTACAGGGACTTTAATTCAGATGGGTTGTGAAGGTTTTGATATTAAAATATACCATGTATCCAAAACTACATTTAATTTGTAGCCATTGATGTTTATTTTAGTTCGTTTTGGAGTTAATTTAGTTTGTTTTTCTAAGTTGTGTATTTTCTCCAGAAATCCCCTAAACTGAGTGATTTTTATGAATGATTTCACTGCAGGAATGACAGGAGACTCTCTGCAGGTAATTTAGAGAGCTGTATTTAGTCTATACATGCATCTGTCTGTAACCTAACAGTGTCACAGTTTAAAACAGAGCTGTTGGCCGTGGACTAAATGTTGATGAAAACACGTTCACACTAACACAGATGTGGCAGGCGCTTTAAGTGTTGATCTAAGGGTCAATTTTCTAAAACCCTACCGTTTCTGGAACAGATCAGGGTCTTATACAAGAAATGAATTAACAATACAAATTAAAATTGTGTGTCTGAAAGTGCTCACAGATGCCTGTTTGGAGAGAATAAAACTGTTTCCAGATCAGGGAAGGTATGTCCCCTGGGTGTTGGCGGCTGCGAGTAAAGTGCAGTATTGTTGAGCCAGACTGATTCACTGGAAAAACACTGTTGATTAAAGTCCACAGAAGAGGAAGTGTCAGCTAGACATTCGATTAACTAACTAAAGAAAAAAAATCCCCTTGGTTTTTGTCATTTTTTCGTAAAGTGCTGCTAAATTCATCCAGTTGTTTTTCTCCTGTCTAGTCTTGAAAAACATTTTTATTCCAACCCAAATTAAACCAGATCATGCAAGTGTATTTATTAAGGAAATTATATTAAATTCCCAGACTATTTATAGAGTCTGATTTCCTGATGTAGAAATCAATATGCTGGCATGCCGATTTGTTTTTTGTGGTGTCCTTTTGTACAGTAGAAAGGAAATTATTCAGATGAAATAGGATCAGGATCCAACGCAGGCCTGATCGAACCTGCATCTCCCACTTTAGCATCGAACCATCGTGTCTGGAGCATGTGCACTAACTGCTATGCCATTGCTCAAACCTCTACTGTAGGATTTAAATAAAGTAAAAAAAAAAAGTCTTTCTCCATTATTCTACAGAAACAATGTGATGTACACAAGTGGGACGTTTTTCTGGATCAACAACTTTCCTATATCAACCAATCAAAGCCCTAACCAACCCCTAGAATGCGAGGGTAAAATGTGTAGCTAAAATGTCATGTTTAGCTATAGCGCAGTATGCTAATTTCAGGGACGTTCCCTTGGAAAGCACAGCATGTGTTCCCACAAATACTTGTGATCATCATAAGTGAAGATGGTTTGGCTTTGCTTTGGCTCTTATCTAAGTGTACCTGTTTATTTTATAGCAGTAGAGCTGAGAGCTCCTTGATCTGTAGTGCAGTCGGAGCCTGTGGTGTTTTTAGTATTTTTGCCAGGAGCTCACTGTGCTTCAGCTGGTATCATTTTCACTGCTCTGTATCTCAAAATCCTGTTTTCCTCTATTCATTTGATCATGCGGTGAGGTTTGTAAGGTCACACGGTTTCAGAACATTGATAAAGGTTAAAAATTCACGACAAAAAATTAAAAGAGTTGTAGCATAAAAATTAGTGTTTGTCCTTGCATTAAATTGATCAAAAGTGACAGTGACAAAAATGATATACAGTTATACTTTAAAATATAACATTTCTGAATATTACTGGTTTTACTGTATTTTTGTTCAAATAAATGCAGCCTTGGTGAGAATTAAAGACTTTCAAAAACATAAAAAAATCGTATTGACCTCAAATTGTGAATGGTAGTGTCCACCAGTCAATTCCTGATGGATAAAATCAAGTCCCACCCTCCATTTGTTTTTTATTCAATATCCTGTTTCACATGGAAATGTCACATTGCGGAAAAGAAGTGGGCTGCAAACGCAGTTTCGTATTGACTTCTAATGTATCCTGTTATCTGTAGAAAGGTGAGTGACATGATTGACTTGATGCTGATTGTGTGATGTTGTGTTCCCAGATCATGTGGAGAATAAGGAGCAGTACATAGAGGTTCTGGAGAATCTAGGGAACAGTCACCTGACACAGGATAATAATGAGATCTCCACAGGCTTCCTGAACCTGGCTGTGTTCACGCGAGAGATCACTGCACTCTTCAAGAACCTGGTGAGCAAGATGCCATCTTGAGTTAAAACTACAAAAACACAATAAAAGGGACGTAATACTGAATATTTTTTGATCCCAATTTTTTTAAAGGCCAGTACTGTACAGCAGAGAAAACAGTTATACTGCATTTTTTATATATATTTTATATAAAAATAAAACTTTCAGACACTCAAAACACTCGGACACTGAAATCCCTTTTAGTTTATTGCTTGTAATGTTGATTTGTTCCCCTTTATTACTTTTTATTTTCTTACGTTTTGAAGCAATATTTACTGTAGTTAGTTAATAATTCTTAACATGCAATTTTCTTTGATTTATTAGTAATTTGGAATTATTTTAAAAAGTACTTATACAAGTAATTTAATAAAAATGCACAAATACATTTTATATTTGAAGCTGGTAAACTCGAAACAATAAGAAATAACTGTAGATCAATAAATGTTTTAAAACTGATTCTCAGAAACGGAATCAGATCGGATTGTGAGGTGCCTAAAAATTCCCACACCCAAACATCACCCATCCTGCTCTCTAAATATCAATATTGGTCATTGAAAACCACATTGGTTGACCACAAATTTAGTTATTTAAGAAACATCTTTCAGTTGCAGCATAAAGTTCAGTGAAGCGTAGATGGGTAATCACCTGTATAATTCGAGGCCAACATGAAGAGTTTCCACCTTATTTGAGAGGAAAATATTCAAGTACTGTCTGACTTGCCAGTATTATTATTCAAAAAGCACCTTGTGTGTGTCTGTGCGGCTTGTCATCTCGATATATTTCTGAATAAGAAACAGACTTCCAGCTGTACAAAGTACACAGGGGACTGGGAGAGGTAGTTTTGTGTTTGTGCGTGCATGCGCGCGTGTGTGTGTGTGTGTGTGTGCGTGTGCGTGTGCGTGTGTGTGTCAGCAGGGGTTCAACAGCTGCAGGCAAGGGCCTCTCAAACCACAGAGCCCGGAACCCTCCCACTGATAGTTTCCATGGAGATGGTAATTTATACCAGACCTGAGAGCATGAGTGGACAGCGTCTGACCACTGAGCTGTCAATCAAACGATCACCAGAGACAGGAACCTAAGCTTAAAAAATACAACAGAAACTCTGCTAAGAAAATAAACTCCATTTGATTTAGCGCCCTTGTGTGGGGGCCATAACTTTCCTTCAGTCAAGCCCATTTTTCATATTCATGAAGATTTATATGTATAACATCCATTTTGCAAGGTTATAAATCTATATCCTGCACCATTATGAGGTTACTTTTTTTTATTTACATTCATGTATGTAGCATAATATGTCTTTAATCTTTAATGTTGAGTGTAAAAGTGTGTGGCCGATATAATGCACAATCCTAGAGTACTTGCAAATTGTAGTCCGTTACTGATTAAAAATCACATGACACAAATTAGTTGGTAACGTAATGTAGTTTGCTAATTTTAGGTAATGTATTCTGTACTGTTTGATTACTTTGTTTACTTTTGACCTTACTCATTTATCACTTAGATTGGAATGAAAGTATTATTGTGTACCATATTGTATAAAACATAAAATAGAAAAAAACAAAGGGAAAGAAAATATTTTCCATTTCTTATCAACAACATGAAATGCATTTTTACCATTACTTTATGCCAGGGTTTCCCAAACTGGGGTCAATGAACTGCAGGGGGATTTTGAGTTGATGAAAAGCTAATGATTAGGTCAATCATAAAAATGTAAAATTAAAATGAATAATTTCTTTCTTTTTTTTAAAGGAAGATTTAAGAGTAAAAAGAAGGTTACAGGAGAATCAATAAATTATTAATATACCGTTGTGTAAATATGTAATAATGTAATCCTTAAAAAAGTAACTGTAATCTGACTATGAGCATTTACAAATAATGTAACCTAATTACAAGTACTAAATTGAGAATCTGATTACATAATCCAGATTATATGGTTACTACCCAGCACTATGTGTGTGTGTGTGTGTGTGTGTGTGTGTGTGTGTGTGTGTGTGTGTGTGTGTGTGTGTGTGTGTGTGTGTGTGTGTGTGTGTGTGTGTGTGTGTGTGTATGTGTATATATATATATATATATATATATATATATATATATATATATATATATATATATATATATATATATATATATACACACACATACAGTATATAGAAAGGTCAGTCTGTGGCTATCAGATCTCTTTGTGTGGTTTGGAAATCTATTATTGTCCCATCATTGATCTTTGAAAGGACATGTGCAAAATGTTTCATATGTCCAAAAAGGCTTTCCTTGGTTGAAATGAATCGTTCTGATTCTTCTCTCGTCCTGGTGTGGGTTTTCTCACACATTCTTTCCTAAGGAAGATTTATACTTGCTCAGCACTTTAATGTGGTTGGCCAAGGAGAAATCCCAAACACAAGTTTTAACTTTAGCTTTTTTTGGTTTGCGAGCATTTTTTCCTCCAGACTGAACTTTATAGGGAGGGTTATGACTTGCCAGGTAAAAATGTGAGCACTCACTATTGAGAAGGGAGTCAGAGTTTAGATTAACATTTGAACTACATTCTGATCGACTTTCAAATGTTGTTGTAAGTTTCTTTTTGGTTTCTGTCTCTGTTCCATTATTTCTGCAAACCTGATTGCTCTTGAGTGTGTGACTGCCTGATTGTATGTGTTCTTTCTGTGTGTTCTGTAGGTGCAAAACCTAAACAACATAATTTCCTTCCCTCTGGAGAATGTGTTGAAGACAGAGCTGAGAGACAGCAGGCTGGTGAGTGAAACAGACACGTGCGTCACACAGCATCAACATACTGGACTAAATGTGTCAAAAACGTCACCTTATACCCCAGCTTAGTATAATTGATATCAATTAAACAGCTGATAAAGATCAGGAAGATAGATTAATTCCTTTGAAGAGACCACAATAATGTGTTATGTTGTTTTGTTCATTGGATGAGGTGTTGTAGCTATCTTTGGCATGTGGCTTGTTTGGGGTATTGTGTTTTCTAATGTCAGATACGCAATAGCTGCACCACACCTTTCTTTATGCGTTTAACCTGTATGCTGAGTGGAGATGTACCGCTGGGCTCTGAGATCAAGTTTTGATACACACCCTCATATTATTGCTTTCACAATATTAATTTTCCACAATGAGGTGGAGTGGCCTTTGCTATTGCATGAAGTTTTTAGGGTGACACAAAGTAAACGTTATCTTGTGTGTGATTTATATATCCAAAAGCACTGGGTGTTTGTGTGTGGTGGGCATATATATATATATAATTAACATTGCCTTCCACTTTATCTTTTTTCTCTTTCAGGAGCTGAAAAAACAGATGGAGAAAAGCTGGAAGGATTATGATGCAAAACTGTGAGTTTCAGAGTCAGATTTTTTTCCTGGTACACAACTTCCTATAACATTTAGTAAAAGACCACCACTTGGTCCACCTGCTAAACTTGAGTTTCATTACATTCTTTTCCGTTTTTCCTTATTTATTTTGTCTTTTCAGGGGCAAGATGGAGAGAGAAAAGAGGGAGAAACAAAAACAGTATGGGCTGATCCCGTTGGAATCGACAGACACCGTGGAGGACATGGAAAGAGAAAGAAGGAACTTCCAGCTACAGATGTGTGAGGTATATGAGTCTGTAGGAGGGCGGCCAGTTAACAGACTATGAAACGTGTGCAAAATGAACCTGACCAAGACCACATTGTGTGCACGTCTCAGGGAGAATAAGTGCGGTTAGTACAGAAGTATGAGTGTGCCTTAGCAGGTCATTCCTGGGTTACCTCAGCTTGTTAACCTCTGTTGTGTTAAACGCATTCTTTGCAAATTTTGTAAGTGTGTGGCAGTGTCTGAAGTCACCTAAAACCAAGAAGCTTTGGGGTGTTTTTTTTTGAGAGGCAGTCCTGTTTGAGACCACAATGTGTTCATGTGTGTGTATCTGTGGTTATTGATGACCTCACTCCACATGTCTTGGTGGCAACATGTCCTAGTTCCATATACTGTGTGTGTGGCAGTTAGCCGGAAATTTGGGCTTCGCCGTTTGAACCCATCTGTGGTAATAGAAAGAATAAGGAAAGGAGTGAAGTGGAGGAATAATAAAAGAGAGGGGGATTTTCAGTGTCCTGCAGCGCTCCCTTTCCCAGCCGCAGAGCTCCAGATGTCTCCACTTTGCTCTCTTTTTATAATGGAAACATGCGTTATTTCTTCCAAAACTGACTGACCATGTGACAGTCATTAACTCTATATGCATAGAGTAAAATTTCATCTATTTGAATGGATTGCTTAGACACAGAAAACGCAGGAGGTTTTGCCTTTTCCACCTCTACAATGTGTGTTCTAAAACCTCTCAAAATATCAAATATGTTTAAAAATCTCTGACTGGATTGAATCATAGTCTGAAGCTAAAAAGTGGTTTATACACTACGTGATTTTTTTGTTAAATTTGTAAATGTTTAGAAAGAGTCACAATTTATAGACTGAGTCACAACGTTGGGACACAAGAGTGGGACTAGCCTTTGACCGCTGACAAATTACTTTCTTTTTTTCTCTCTTTCTCTGTTTGACAGTATTTACTGAAGATTCAGGAGCTGAAAGTTCGTCAGGGTCCTGATCTGCTGCAGAGCCTGATCAAGTACTTTCAAGCCCAAATTAAGTACGTCTGAAACTAATTCACATCCTACAGAAGCACGAGCTTCCTTTTCAGATGCAAATTTACCCTAAATTGGCTTTAGTACAAAACTAGGCTTTTTACACTACGCTTAACCATGTCTTAAGGCCCCTTGTAATACTGGGTTCAGTATATGAATCACAGACTAATATGAATAACTGTACTGTGAAGATTTAATCCTGCTCCTCACTCAACAGTACTCTGTAAGGATTGAATTGCTGTGGCTTTGTGGGTGTGTGTATTGATGTCATTGACATTTGAGATGGCTAAACACTGCTATTGTGTGTTCTCAGTTTTTTCCAGGATGGACTGAAGGCTGCAGAGAATCTTGGTCCATTTGTGGAGAAGTTAGCAGCCTCCGTACATACGGTAATAGACTTGTCAAACCCATTATCTGACAGATTCAGATTCCCACACCTAAATATTTACAATGTGTGTTTCAGGAATATCTCAATGTATTTTAAAATGTTAGTAAATTTCATAAGTTTTGACTTTGGATCATGAAGAGCAGCTCTAACTAGGCTGTTTGTTTTGTTTTGTTTTCTCTCAGATTTAGAGAGGCGATGAGTAGATATAATGGCTTATCTTGTTTGTTTTTTTGGATGATGCAGAAAGCCAGATCATTTGCTCAGACACATACACACCTCCCATGTTTTGAAACGGATCTCACTTCTCATGTTAGTCATGATCCGGTATAGACGTAGCATAAAATAAGAATCTTTAAATTCCTTTCAAGGAAGATTATCACTTTATCATTGAGTTTGAAAGTTTCTTTGTTTCATAAATTTATTTCTACTTAATATCAGGTAACTTTTTTTGTTAGTGCAAATACTTTAGCTTTATTAAAAAATCAAAAAATCATTTTTCAATAAAAAGCAGCCCATCTCAACAGTATTTTAATACATCATAGACTGTTTCAAAAATTAAGCAACATTTTTCTTCTTTAAAAACTGTCATTGCATGTATCTTCTGTAGAGAAAGCAATGCCAGAATGCATTTCGATGAGTCCTGAAAAATGTTGATAAAAACATTAAAAGTTGATTATTTTCTCTTGACATTATGTGTGCTATGTATTTTGATGGGTTACACTTTATTTTAAGGTGACAGTTACATTGTACTTAAGTTACGGTTAGGGTTTGGTTTAGGGTTAGTTACTTTTAATTATGCAAAATTTACTGTTACTATAGTAAGTACATGTACTAACTTGTAACTACGTCACCTAAAATTAAAGTGTTACATTTTTATGCTAATTAGACTATAGCACTAACTTATAGGGGTGTGCAAAAAAATCGATTCACATTTGAATCGCGATTCAATCTTTACCGATTCAGAATCGATTCATAGAATTCCAAAAATCGATTCATATTTTTTTTTTTTTTTTTTTTTATGGCGTGCACGGGCGGAGTGGCAATCGGGTGAGTCGGGACTTTTACCGGTGGTTCGGTAGTGTTTCGAGGCTGCGAGGGCCGGTCTGATAAATAGTTACATTGCAAGTTCTTGCCGCCCGCTGGTCAAACTGTGCAGCCTCTCTGCTCAACCCGTGAATAAATGCATCGATCCGCTGCATGTTTGAGTTCTTAATGGTCTGTAGATCTTTTGCCAAGCGTGTCAGAGGTTACGGGTTCTAAACCGCACTCGTATAGTTTTTTCTCTCTCTCATCAAAACCGAATATGTTCATCACGTTTGTGTGCATTTTATTTTGAGATTTCACCAGAACCACAACGGCGATATGAAGCGCGCGTCCGAGTGAAGACAGCGCGAGCCACAGAGAACACTGTATCCATGACACTGATAGCAGCGGCAACGAGCGCTCAGCTTGATTTCAAAAACAACAGATCTCTTATTTAATAGCGAACTAAATAAATGCTCTGCTAGTTAACTGGAGATACCCGCAAATTACGCCTATGAACGACTTCACTGGATCTAAAGAAATCAATCTAACCATAGATGTTACCAGTAGCGGTGGCTTTTTAAAATCTATTTAAAATTATTTCGCAAGGGTTCTATGACATTAGTAGGCTATATTTTTAGGAAGTTCAATGTGCCCAGTCGAGTTCACATTTCAACAGTCAGCCTGCTGAAGTAGTCCTTAAACCACATTTAGCATAATTGTTTGTTTGATCTGACTACAGCACTTTAAAGCTAAATGTAAAAGCTTTTTATTTAAGTTTTATTTTAAACTTGAATTAAATGTATTTGAAAGCTGGCCAAAGCTTGGCACTTTGCACTTTTTAGTTGCAAAAGTTTTTATTTTTGTTTGAAGACATAAAGTAATATCAAACTACATTTAATTTGTTGTGTTTTTTTTTTCTTTTAAATTGTGTCTACTGCAATCAATCACATAGGAAAAAGTAAACTACATTTATATACTGCGAATCGTTTTTTGAATCGAGAATCGTTTTTGAATCGAAAATCGATTTTGAATCGAATCTTGAGACAAAAAATCGGTATCGAATCGAATCGTGACATTTTCTGAATCGTGCACCCCTACTAACTTAGCAAGCTATGTTGCTTAAATGAGTCACTTTGCACTACACAGAAGTATGACACAAAGAGTTCTGAAAAGTGCGGTTTCATGACAGTTCGGATACTCCCTTAGAAACCAGCTGCCTATGTAGATGGCAAGGAAAGTCAAAGTTTTGAAGACCAGCTATTAATTGCATCCAGACTGTTTAGATTTTACTCATTTTAATCTCCCTAAAGAATACACCAAAATCTGTTTTAAAACAAATGAATATTTATCAGTTGATGTTTCCCAGCTGCATCATGGACCCTGTTCTGCAAGTCTTGTCTGGTCATGGTTGTAAAGAGATATGATCCGGTCTAAAGTGAATATCACTCAACAATAACAGCGTTCATTAAATTATATTTCCTGTATTAAAGTTTGTCGTTTTGTTGTTACTATGAGGAGAAGGCAGGATGGGGCATGTGGAAATGATGTTGAGATGATTGTGTTTTATAACAGATCTGGTTTGGGTAACTTTTCTGAAGGGACATTTCTCCCGTTTCAACTTGTCCTCCTTTGATCATAACAAATCAGCATTAAGCACATGAAAGGAAGTGAAACTCAAACAACCACAAGCCAGCTTTCCGAGAGGAATTATTTCCTTAAAAAAAAAGTATTTAATGGAAATTGGTAGAATAAATTGCTGGAATTTTGTTCTGGGGGCCAAAGCCATCATTTCAACAGGCTTTAAGCAATGCAGGATTTCTGGCTGTGTTGGTTTGGTCCTGGATTTCATTACAAAATGGAGGGATCATGTATTCCAGTGTAAGCCTGTAGTGTCATCTATAACTTCTCCGTTATCAAATGTGTTTTTGTTTGTGTATAATTTATGTTGACCAATACCAAGATTGGTTACATTGCATTACACAAAAGCAAGCCACTTTTCTGTTATTGGTTCACAGGTTCGTCATGAGCAGGACGAAGAAGTAAAGCAGCTCTCTCAATTGCGCGACTCACTTAGAACACAATTACAGGTGGATGGCAAAGAGGTAACTTCCAAAATAAACTCCCTGAATTCACCACTTCTTAGTTTTAAAGACTATATTCCAGCAATTTCAGAGATTATGATGATGATGTTGTTGATGATGATGATGATGATGATGATAATTATGTTGTTCTGTGTCATTACAGGATTTTCTAAATAGGAAGAACTCTGGGCATGGATATAGCATCCACCAGCCTCAAGGCAATAAGAAATATGGCACAGAGAAATCTGGATTCCTTCTTAAGAAGAGCGATGGGTGAGTTAAACTTTACTGTCTACTTCCCAAAGTTAAGAAGGTCACAAACCCTCCCCAAAAACAACAACAGTCGGAACTATTTCTTTTTATTACCTAAACTTATTCAAGGTTTTCCAGACATGATGCAGTATTCAGCTCCTGTTTGCATTTAGTCACATGGGGTTGAGTGTATGTTCCTCAGGAAACAGTCTCCACACAGCTTTCAGTGTGTGTAATGATATATATGCCCCTATTTTTAAGCTGAGAGCAAAATAAATGAAGGAATGACTTATAATATCCTGAGAGAGTCACAGATAGTTAGCAGCATAAAGCATCAGTTTGAGCTTTTTGACTTCAGGCCCACAGCTGCGTGTGTGTGTTTGTCTCCGTGTTCCTCTCACACAGATGTTGTCTATTAAATGTGGTTTAGTTTCTTGCTGCTCTACAGTCTTACTTACACTCTTTTAAAACTACAGCTCAAAACACACACATGCCCACATGCCCACATCCACCCAGAATACTTAGGTTTTGATCAGTGTGAGAATAAACATCATCACCATTTTTGTTGTCATTTAATTATTGATTGCAACTTTACTAGTGGGCTGCTGAGCCAATAGGATTAATTTACTACTAGTTATTTCTGCTTTCATGAATTTTATGGTAATCTACCCTATACATTTAAACATTTTTATCTTCACATTTTAAGTAATTTGCTTTTATATTGGTATAAAATATTGAAAATTCACATTAATACATTTTCTGTTGACTCCAATAACCCCATTGTTATTTCAAAGCATATTTTTAATGTTTATTTGTAATAAACCTTTGGTATGGAGGTATGAAGGCAATATTGATGAATGTTAAATGTGAATTGTAAGAGGTATTCATGATCGTTGTGTTTCAGGATCAGAAAGGTTTGGCAGAAGAGGAAGTGTGGGGTTAAATATGGCTGCCTCACCATTTCTCACAGCACGGTGAGGTTTAAGAGAGACAAACACACAGCTCAACACCTTCCAGTTATACATACTTCTTTTTATAATACATCAGTCTTTGAATCTGATTGGCTGCGGGGCATTACAAAGTACTCTAGATTAACTTTTTGTTTACAAACCTTCTCTATAAAAATCCTATGGCTGAATCATTCTAAACGGTAATCATGGCCACGGTACTCTTGCTTGTGTGATTATTGTTTAATTAGCACAAATAGTACACCAACTTTAGTTATAAAACACTCTCTGTTCCGAGAGTCTCTAGAGCGATTATTTGAGATTCAGGACATGCAATCAAATTTTCCCATGCTGTATGAGAGAGAGTCATCGCTCATGTATTAGTGATTTCCTTTCAGAACCACAAACTACAGGCCAAAACACATAAAGGAGTTTCATCTGGAATCATCCACAATGTCAAAAAACAAAACTTTTGTCTGTGTGTGTGCTTCCAGCTTCAGTGATTTAGCAACCATAAACTTTGTAAGCTTTTACTCACATCTCAAGCATGAATCCTGCACACACCATAATTGACCTATGGCTAAGTCACGCCCCCTCCACTCACTCGGACAAACAGTCAACATTCGGGGACAGGCGCTGTCACAGTAGGAGACATTTCACAGGAGGCCATTGATGATTTTTGGAGACAGAAAGATTAAATATCATTTTGAAGTCACAAAAAGGGCCTTATCTATTCATTGGAGGGTTATATTAATAATTTTATTGTTGAGAAGGTCGATGAAAAGCTTCAGCTCCAGGCAAAAATTCACAGGTCACAGTGTAAACTGATAAACCACATCTCGTTGCCATCACCATCTCAGACAACAAGATGGAGGATCAGCATTGTTCATGCACTGCAGTATTTACATGAATCTTTACATGAACATTTGTTATCTCGGTTATTTAAAGATACGTTAATGAAGCTAAGTGACATGATGTACAACGCAGCTAGAAGCTAACGTCAATGTTTTCTAATGTTAGGCTAACGTTTGCCTAACGCTACGTTAGAGATGTTAAAGATAACGTTCAAATACGTTGTTGACTTAGAACAGATGTAGACATCCTTGTTTAATTCTTGTTTAATTTATCCACATTTAGTTGGTGTTGTGGTCTACCGCATAACTTTATCCAGAGCAGACACTTATCTCGGTTGAGATCTGGCTTGGGAAAGGGTAAAAAAATACACACCGTCGCCCTGCCTCTCGGGATACCTAGTGTCGGAGTTGCATGTACCCCATGCACACCGTTTGACCATTTTAAACTTAAAATGACAAGAAAAAACATATAAAAACGAATGAAAATTGACTAACTGCAATGCATTTCAATGGACGTGGAAGCAGAGAATGTCCGAGTGTATTGGGTTAGCTATGTGCACTGTGATTGGCTCATCGTGTTTGGGGGCGTGGCTTAGCCATAGGTCAATTGCAAGTGAGATTTGTTTGGATTTGATTTGAGTGACCACATACAGTATGCACTATGTAGTGAGAACGCCTTTCGAGCATGTTATAACTCTTCTTTCTTTCTCAGATCAATAGACCACCCGCAAAGCTCAACCTCCTGACATGTCAGGTGCGACCCAACCCTGAGGAAAAAAGAACGTTTGATTTAGTTACACGTAAGTTGATCTCTGACCTTTGACCCTTTTCCTCTCAGCTAAAGTATGGAAAGGACTGTAAAACTAGGGAATGGAAAACTAGCTTACTATTTAATAAATAGTGTGCAGTATACAGTGTATACTCTAGAAATAGTAAATGAAGCAGTAGGCATTGTTCCATGATACATTTTAAGCAGTAGTATGCTATGTTGCTCTCACACAACTTTATCGGATACACTAGTAAATAAAACTTTTAGTTAGAATTTTAATTTAATTTTAAATGATTATAAAAATTACTTATTTTTTGTAAAATTCTGAGTGTCTATTTACACTAAGTGCCAGTGTTGGGGGTAACGCATTACAAGTAATGTGAGTTGCATAATCGGATTACTTTTTCAAGTTACTAGTAAACTAACGCATTACTTTTAGATTTACAACAAAATATCTGAGTTTTTTCAAACAAGTGACACAAGTTACTTTGTTTTCTTATTTATTGACTGTCATCTCTCCTGTCCCAATGCTGAGAGAAATCAGAGGCGTTGTGTGCGCTGTGTGAACATGATGGTTATTGTAGTTTTAGACTAAATGTGAGCATGCGTTTAGTTTACTCATCTCACTTGCACTAAATTAATAAAAACAGTAACATGCAAACTCAGAACATTACGCAAACCTGCAATAATTAAATGTTACATAGTACAAATATACTTTTTGTATTTAATCTCACTTTATTAACCAATGTTTTTGCTGTTGAGCTTTGATAATTCAATTCAACCATACTTATAAGCAAAAATGGCTTTAGATAAACATCGCATTTGTGTTTAAATTGTTTTTGTTAAAAAACAAACAAGTAAGCCCAGCCCATGTATGAAAAATTAACGTGTTGCTTTCCATAAAAAGTAATTAACGCAGTTAGTTTTTAAAAGTAACTTTCCCCAACACTGCTGAGTGTTGTTGGCAAAGAGTAAATGGGCTAAATAGCATCAAACTGCTATTTACACTGCAAAGAAATTACTGCTATTTTCACTTAGTGTAAATGTCATCTTTCACTTTTTTCAAAAATCCTCTGCCTTAATTGCAGATACAATTACATCTGCTTTATTCACTTCACTGGAAAGCACATTGCATTGTGGGATGTGCAGTGTGTTTTATACATAAATTTGTTTGCTTAATATGTACAGTGAGTGTTTACACTCTATATATTGTAGGAATAATAAGAATAGTATGCTGTTCTGAAGGTATCCAAGGACTAGCCAGGTATGAATTGAACATGCATGGCTGGAAATAATTCAGTGCTGATGGCTTAACTGACCTGGATGTGATGCATTCATGGAAATCTGCTGTGAAATATAGTACGTTAAACCAGGCGAGGCGTTTCATGCATGTAGGTGTTCAGAAGAATGTAAATAAAGTTTTGAGAAATAGGTCTGTAGGTGTGTAGATCATGAAAAACAGGTGTGTTGAGTGGCTAGTCCTGACCGTTTTTTGTTTTTTCTCTGTTTATTTCCTGTAGATAAGGATGTTTTTCCATGGTTTCCTTACTGCGTCAGAGATCCACCTAATGCATAAACTCTATTTATCTCTTTTTTTTTTCTCTCTCGTTTTTCTTACAGACAATCGTACATACCATTTCCAGGCTGAAGACGAGCAAGAATGCATGATGTAAGTGCAGACACACATACACTTACCCGTGCACAGAGAAATCTCTACCGCATACTGCAGAGCAGCATGTACAGACATGCTGGATCAAAACCTGCTCCTCAAGGCGAGAGATAGAATAAAAAAGGAAAGAGAAAGATAAAGACAATGAAATGTTAAATACACAACGGATGTATCTGAAAGGTCACTATTTGTTAGGCAGACATCTGAATATATTTTTTGTAATCTCTCTATTGGTCTTCCTGTTATCACTGTAAAGCTGCTTTGAAATAAGCTGTATTGTATAAAGGGCTATATAAATAAAGGTGACTTGACTTCCTGCAGATGGGTGTCTGTGCTGCAGAACAGTAAGGAGGAGGCCTTGAACACGGCTCTAGGTGGAGATCAGCTCCAGTTTCAGGACAGCGGTCTGCAGGAACTCGTCCGAGCGGTCATCTCATGCCTGAGAAACCTGCCCGGCAATGAGGGCTGCTGCGACTGCGGAGCCCCAGGTCTCGACTAGAGGATCCTAATGCATTTTTATACTGCTTGATTGTGGCCATTCACACCAAACGAGTTTTTGCATTCCATTGCACTGCATTTCCATAGTTTTTCTAAATAAACATGCCAGACGGGCATGGTTGATCGTTGCACTCACGTCTTTTGTAGCATCTTGCGCATGACACAGCATTTTAAAGATGCGGCACTCAAGTTATAATATGTTCTAATCTATACCTTGTTTTTTCATTCCACTGCCCTGTGCCTCACATTTTTAAACATGAGATGCCACTTACAGTGTTACAAATATAGAAATCCTATGTGTTATGTTCTAAATCAAATCCAAATGATGATGAGAGAGAGAGAGAGAGACCTTTAAGCCGTATTTATGTTTGCATATGTATTCTTTATTTTATTTATTTATTAGATGAATTAAATATTTAAGCAATGTATAATTCTTTTCATCAGAATTACTGCATCATCATTATGAAGAGCTCTTGAAAAAAACCCATTTTATTAGTCTGCAAAAGGTGTTCAAGATTGACAAAGAAATGTTTTGAATAAAGTGTAATGTGCTGTTTAGATCCCACCTGGCTCTCCACTAACCTGGGCATCCTCACCTGTATCGAGTGTTCGGGAATCCATCGTGAGCTCGGAGTACATCACTCACGAATTCAGTCTCTCACTCTCGACGTGCTGAGCACCTCTGAGCTCCTGGTACACACACACACACACACACACACACATATACACACACACACACACACACACACACGTACGTGTCTGAAATATATACATTTCATAAATTTGAAAGAGATTATTTAGCTCAGTTTTCTCTATGAGTCCATTATTGACTTACTAGCTGCACTTTTACTGTTGTTGTTTTTTGTGCTAAAAATCACATTTTTTACCCATAATCCTCTGTGACTGAGTCAGCAGTTACTCACAAGTGCTTCATTCTCATCTGCGCATTTGTACAGTATGAACTTTTTACCTCTGACAGTAAAGCAAAATAATGCAAGTGCTTCTGCACACATGTCCTGAGTGTTATTTATTAGGTAATTACTTAGATTACAGATAATGCAAACTACCAAACATCAAGCTGGATGCGTGAATGCAGTGTTCAAATTTGTTAGTTTTGTATGTTTGCTGCAAACATCTGTTTATTAGTTGTGCTTTGGTTCACAGTTGGCAGTGAGTATTGGAAATGCCAAGTTTAATGACATCATGGAAGTCAACCTACCCAATGATGCAATCAAGCCCCTCCCAAAAAGTGACATGTGAGTCCTAGTGTGCAGTTCAGATATATTGCTTAATATTATTAATAAAAACATTTTGTCACTTTACCAGTAGCTCAGCCTCGTCTTAAACATATTTTGCTTTTGTTTGTGCATCTCAGGACTGCGAGGAAGGAGTACATTGTAGCGAAGTACGCAGAGCGCCGCTACGTCCTCCCAAAAGAACACTCTGAAGTGTACCATGTGTATGACACTGTGAGGAGCAAAGACCTCACATCACTGCTGCAGCTCTATGCAGAGGGAGAGGACCTGTCTAAACCAGTGGCCACACCTGACGGACAGGTGAGACCACTCAATCCCACCATACACACACATACACCGCATCCACAGTGATAACAAAATCATCAGGTTTAGAAACATGCTCTTGAGATGACATGAGCTTTCAGAAATGTCCATCTGTCATATGAGACTCCCTGTGATTAAGTTAAATAGATGTTCATTTCTTAATCAGTTCGAACTGTATAAACAGAAACAAGACATCTGTGTGGTTAGATGTCATTAATCACACATCATTCACTCTCTCTGCAATTCTGTATTTCATCTCCTTTTTCCGTCTCTAATCAGATTTCCCCTCTCTTTGGCACACTCAGGAAGTGAACACAAGCCGTGTAATGACTGCTGTACTTGTGTTTGAGTTTGTTTTGTGAATGTGTGTGTTAGTAGTCTCTTTTCTAAAACAGAATTTGACTTGAATGATTCAGTGACTGAATCACCAACGTTTTAATTTAGCACACATGTACTCACAATTAGAAAATTGCACACCAACTCACCGTCTAATTCATTAATCTTCTCCATCGCTTCTCATCCAACAGCACATACGCTTCGCCAAGAGATGGTGGCCGCTTGACAGCAGCCAGTAACTTTATCTTGTTCTCTTCTGTGTCTCACAGGACTTGAAGGAGACTGGTCTTCACTTAGCTGTGCACATGTCTGAGAAGACTTCTCTGGCTCTAGTGGATTTTCTAGCTCAGAACTGGTGAGAGAAATCTGCTAGTGTCACAGATCTGTCAGCACACAGTAGGATTTCCATCAGCTGACCACTCTGTGTGTGTGTATGTGTTTTTCAGTGGCTGTCTGGAAAAGAAGACGGCAGAAGGAAACACAGCTCTTCATTACTGTACATTATATAACAAAACTGAGTGTTTGAAACTTCTCCTCAAAGCAAAGGCTGCTTTGCACACAGGTATACAATAATACATACACACAAACTCAACTATAAACATGATGGATGGATGGATAGATGGATGGATGGGGAGGTGGATGGATAGATAAACAGACAGATAGAAAGGTTGATTGACCAACAGACATTTGATTAGACTCTTCCATTCTTCTGATTGTCCTGTAGTGAACTCAGCAGGTGAGACGGCTCTTGACATTGCCAAGAGACTGCAGCACATGCAGTGTATCGAACTGGTGAGTATCATATATTGCACAAAAAACAGCTGAATTGCTTTGTGTTTGTGTATGTGAGCATGTGTTTGTAGAGATATTATCTCTAGGTTGATTTTTATCCTGTTTAATATCCTGAAGTCTCATATGACAATGTTTTCACAAGGAACCCCCCTCACCTTCCCTGCATACAATAGTATCATCACATAAAGCAAATACAATGTCGGCAAATGAAGAACCAGGTTCAGAAAACTGACAATAAATGGAGAGCTGTATTTGAATTTTTGGTTTTGCTCTCTCTAATAGGACACTAGTGTGAAATATTAGTCTTGTCAAAAGTGAGTCTCTGGAATTTCTTACATTTTCTCGGTGTGTATGTTTAGCTGGAATTGGCCCACAATGGGAAGTTTAACTCTCAGATCCATGTTGAATACCCATGGGAGACACCACAGGACATGTATGACAGTGAAGATGATCTGGACGAAAGGGTCTGTAATGACATTAACTATTTCATACGATATGCATTATTCACTATAATATGTACAGTGGTATCTGAGCAATTAGCAAAAACTAGTGAAAATGTTTCTATTTTGCATTTTTCAAATTTAATAATAAAATAATTGAAGTCATAATATTTCTTTGTTTTAAAATGTACAGAATCCTAATGAAAAAGCCATGTTCAGGTTCAGCAATTAAATTTTTTTTTTTTACATTATTAATATATGAGTGAATCAGTAGATGATAATAAATAAAAGTAGATCTTAGTCTTCGTTGTGTTTTATAATAATGTTCATTAACTTTGTTTAGGCGAGTCCCCATCCTAAGGGCTCACGGTCTCCGCTGCCTCCTACTGGCAGTAATGGGCACTGCTCGTCTGCATGGAATTTAAATAAAAGCAGTCCAGCCCGGACCTATGAGAACATTGACTTCCTATATGAAAATCCACCCAACAACAGCGCCCCCACTGGTGGCTCCATGCCACCTCCCCTGCCAGCTAAAGCAATACAGAGAGGTGAGATAGTGTTTATCTTTTAATTGACTTTTGAAACCTGAAGTCTGGAATTTTGGAATTAGATGTTCTCTGAGAAGCTGAATTGTACCTCAATTGCATATGAGAAATGTATAGAAACGCTGCAAGTTTATTCCAGACAAACCACAGCAAGGTCAAAGATAAATTGTGTCCCCACAGGTCGTTCAGATCCTCAGATCTCGGTTTCCATTCCAGAGACTCACTCCCCCTACCGCCAGAGTTCCCACCCCACAGGCTGCTTTCAGAGAATCAGCACCCCGTCCCCTGTGACCGAGTCCTCTGGACTGACATCAGCACGCTCTCACACCATTGGACCGTCAAAGGGACCGAGACAGACGGTGTTCTGGGAGGGACCTTTCTCGGGGGCAGAGGGCAAAAATTACTCCACCTCACCACAGTGTCAGAGAGGACCCGTCAGGTTAGTCACTCGCTACCTCCGAAATCGCGCATTGTCTGAGTAGGTAATATATTTGAATTTGAATTTACTATGCGACCGAAAAAGTACGCTCTATATAATATGAATACAGGTAGTATGAATGAAATTTGGACATACTACATCCTCCATGTTACTTTCGCGAGACCTACCAGTTTGGACATACTACTCTTTTGGCGTACTGTTTTTTGCATAATATATAGTAGGGAAGTATTCAATTTTGGACGAACCAACTGTAATCCTATACTACATTTATCTTACAGGGCAAGAAGTTTCCTCATTATTGTATTACATTTTTTTGTATGCAATTACATATAACAAATTAAACACTAGTTAGTAGTTGCTAAAAAAAAAAAAAAAAAAGTCATATCAAATGTTAATGAAATATATAATAATAGTGAGAATTCATATGATTTACGTGTGAACATCTACTAAAATCAGTGTAGCATCCATTGAAATCTGTATTTGTTTATGAGTGTATGTGTGTAGTATTCTGATTTGGCAAATATACCGTAAAACTTCAAATAATAGCCGAGTCCCAAATAGACGCCTGTCTCTTTTACACGCCTGGTGTGGCTGCCGGTTTGGGTAAATAAAGGCCGGTCTCAAATAGAGGCTGGGTCTGTTTTTTAGTTTCGGGTTGTATTTAATCCTCTAAAACCGTCAGATCGTCCGCTTTTTGGCGACCGCCAAAGCAAATTGTTGTCCCTCCAAAGCCTTTTTTGATCGATGAGTGATGTAGAATAGAATGACGTTACGAGCAGAGAGAGAGAGAGAGAGAGAGCGCCCCGGCCGCGCGCGCGCACTCTCACGTCTTCAAACAACACGAGCGCTGTCTTGCTCTCTCTCCCTCGCGCATATTAATCAAAATCAATTGACGCGATAGTAAGAGGTCGGAAGACCGCAGTTTCACGTGGAGCATTTGGAGATTTTTAGAGATTAGAGACAGGCCTATACACTCAATGAACAACATCTCAACACTAAATTATAAAGGCCTGTCTCATATAGACACCTGTCTCAAATACAAGCCGGTGCAGTTCGACGATTTGGGAAAATAAAAGCCCGGGCTACTATTTGAAGTTTTACGGTAATTCAAATGTTTATCTGCAGCTCAGAGAAGACGACCTCGTATCGCCGCACGAGCAGCGGGAGTCAAGGGAAGAGTTCGGCTCCATCTCCTGGGTGTGCAGGCAGTCAGGAGGAACTCTACTGCAGTCCAGTGGGCGGAGCTCCCAACCCATCACCTCCACCAGCTAATGCTAACAACAGCGCCACAGTGCCAGTCATACTGCCGCCACCTCGCTCACGCAAAAACGCCATGGTAATGTATACATATTATTTTTACTTGTATTTGTTTGTTATCCCTTCATTTGTGAACATTCATTTGTATATGTAAAAGCTGGAATACACCCCACACGACTTTTGCCCAGATTCCCCACCCCGAGTTGATTGATTTCACAGAAAATTGCATAGTGCGCACAGACTCCATTTTTTTTTAGCTTCAGACTATGATTCCATCCAGTCATTTGTCATGCATCTTCTAGCAACGAGGTGCATGTTTCTACATGAGATGGTTGTGTTTGTAAAGTTTGAAAGTCAGGTAGTATATGATGCCCAGTTTTTCTGTGTAACCATTTTCAAAGTCAGAAAGTGTATGCTGAGATTTTCTCTGTGTTAGATCTCATTAAGGGAGAGACCCAAGAAGGTCAGAGCGTTGGTTGACTGCAGATCAGTTGGTGCCAATCAGCTGGCTTTCTTTAAGAACGAAGTCATCATAGTGACAGCAACTGATGACCCACACTGGTGGGTAAGTATACATACTCTCTCTCACACACACACACACACACACACACACCCTGTGTTTACCTGCCATGCTTTTAACAGGCTTTACAGTAACTGTGAATACATTTTCCATAAACGGTTCAAACTGAGACCTCAACATCTTGCACTCTTTTCCTCCCAGGTGGGCCATATAGAGGGAGAACCTTCTAGAAGTGGCTCCTTTCCAGTCAACTATGTACATAAATTAGGAGAATGAGGTGAACCTCCATGAACACTCACATTACACCATGTGGAACTAGTCTAGACTGTTGCTTTTATCTTCAGAAGCGCTAGACCAAGAAACTGTGGAGGCCTGAAATGCACTTAGAAGATGAAAGACTGGAGAACGGCATTAGTGTGAAGCGCTGTAAGATGATCCACTGATCATTTCAGTGCTGCTCATAACGTATCTGAGCTGTTTATCTGGACTGAAGGTTTGGCAGGTACGTCATGACTCACGAATGAATGGCAGAAAAGGGATGAAAGCCATCCAGCTTTTGAAACTCCTCTTGGGTTTAGTTGTTTAAACTAACGACAGGACTTGTTCTTATTGATATTGAGGCATTGAACGTGTTCTTGGCGTTTGAGGTCTCGAAGAGATTGTCGGCCAGACTCGGAGGCACTGGGCTCGTTTGCTGAAGCTCATCCTGTGGTTGGTGCTCTCTGGATATTAATTTATACCATCAGGCATTATGACATGCCATTAGTTCTGGCCAGACACCAGGTCCACCAGACAGCGAGTTAAAGGATGATGTATTTGGTTTCATCTGTCTCCTCTGCACCGGCGTCTCCTATTGCTGCTGATTCCCGGACATCCAGCCCTGCACTGGGAGACCTTTAGAATCCTCAGATAGAAGATCAGGATGTTATCTGAGTGTTAAATGACAACAAATGTTCAATAAGTTTTGACTGCAGAAAGTTATTTTTTAATCTCAGCACGCATACAATGTGTATTGTATTTCATTCATGTGCTTTTCGAGTTTCCATATTTTATGCTAATGTTCAAAAATCAAGCTCTGTTAGCTTTGCCTATACAAAACAGAAAAAAAGCTGTACTTGTCTCCCACATTTAATGTCTTTTCTGTGTTTGTATTGTTATCGGACAGCATTATTATTATTATTTTAATGGGATCTCCCTCCAGACCGAGGTGGTTTATGGCAGATTTGGGACGTGTCTCGAACCAGCAGACTGTATAAATGTTTGATAAGCTGAGAGCACACAACAGATGTTTTCCCTTCTGCCATCTCATTGACTTCTGTGAAGCATTTTTCAGCCAGAGATGAACGTACGTATGTTGGAGGTCCAAAACGGTTCAGCTCACTTTGTGTTTTAGGAAAGCAAAAGGTAACGCTGTGTAAATTACACTTGTTTAACTCAACCGTTTTGTATCACTGTAACTGTATATTATTGTTAAATGTCCCTCCCAGTCTGTTCAGGACAATTTTTTTTTTTCTCTGAGATGTTGTTAAGCATCTGTTTCTAAGAACTGAAAATGACAATTAAATGTTTGCAAACTGTAAACACGTGTTTTCTCTGGGTTAAACATACAATGGATTGCAAAACCTTCGATATGACTGTGGTTGTTCGTCTATAAGAATGAAGTGCTTTATTACAGAACATAATACAGTACATTTTCTGAGAGGAGATGGCATAACCTTTTTCTAGAATTTATAAGCCCTCTACAATCGTCAAACACATGGAGACTTACTCCTCTGCGTTTTAAAAAAAATCCTGGATTAAGAATGTGGCATCTTTTTGCAAAAGGATTATGAAAACACATTAAGTGTGTGTGTGTGTGTGCATGCGTGTAGATCCATATTAGCACCTTCTACTTTTTCAACAGTCAGCCGTCCATCCTGGATGGGCCTAAATGGATGATTGCCAGCACTCAGCTTCTTTACAGATTGAAAATCATTAGGTAGCATCTGACTAAACTGTTGCATAATTGACAGGTGTTATGTCACTGGTCAGTGCGGAGTGATGCAGAAAGTTTTCAGGTCAGCCTAAAGCAGATGTTCACTGCGATGGCATGCGAACGACGACTGTTGGCTTGCAGCATGACACAACAGTTCTCCTTGTTGAATGCTAGAGTAATCTGTCATTTGTCACACTGCCTCCAGTAATATGAGGTTTTACTTAGAACATTTTTAAATATTTCAAACAAAAGTGCTTATAAATGTGTACAAAAACTTAACAATTCAGCTGTTCCAATGTTGCTTCAGTGATGTGCTCTCTAATAAGACAAAATGGTCGGCCCCTCTGAAATAAAATCCGTTTGGATTACATTATTGGAAATTTAATAAAATATGTGAGATATGCTGATACTTAGATTACAATGAAATGTGATGGAAATCCCACAAGATTTCCATCCATTCCATTCCTTCAATCACATTTATTGACTAGTGCTCCTATTTAGTTTGTCCACATCTGCTTGGATTGTTCTTTCCATAATATATTCACTTTAAGAAAGCACATGCAAACTTAAAGGTTCTCTAAGCGATCCTGGGTGACGTCACTTCTTGTTGACGTTCGAACTATTGTCAAACAAAACGGAGGCTAGCTAGACCCTCCCTCCTCCTCATCCGCACACTAACCCCCCAAACCACACCCCCAAACCCTTCTTGTCGGTCATTGGCTGGAACAGTTTGTTATGTTTTGGGGAGCGGGTCGCTGCAGTTTGTTTTTGGTGCTGTTTGTGAAGCATGGGCTGTCTACAGAGATCGCGTTTCTTTACAGTGTGTTCAGGGGACAGGCAGCCAGCGGATAGTGAGGAGATGTTTGCTGTATGTGACAAAAAATGTTTTGGCCTAAAAAACACATGACATCGCTTAGAGCAGCCTTTCTCAAAGTGGGTGCCGCGGCACACTGGGGTGCCCCCTGACTGTGTCAGGGGTGCCGCCAAAAAATTACGTAGGCTAAAAAAAAAAAAAATCAAAAAAAAAATCTGACATTTCATATATAAATATATTTACATAAATACATTCTTCTTCTTTTTAAACATATGAACGTATTAATAAAATTGTAAATTCATTTTAGATAAATATATATACAAAAATATATACGGAAAAAAACCGGTGTTGCCTACGTGTTGTCCTCTTTTTAAAATTTGCACCCTGTTGACTTATACGGGGCAAGTTTTAAACCTGCTTTTAGCCTCTTAACAACCTTAATGTGTCATTACAAGTGCACAGCCATATGAGTGAACACGGTGAATCTGACTGCAGTAAATGTGAAAGATATGAATAAAAATGATGTTTATTCAGCCAGCTGCTCACATACCCGTATTTTCTTCCTGTTTTCGGTCGAAGTCCACAGTAGGCGATTGTCGAGTGCGCGCGCGCGATCATTGGTAACTAAGCAACAGTGGAGACTCAGACTGTCAGCTGTCAGCCGATGACAGTGCTTTGTGGTGTTCTGAGAATATCAGCTCAAATGGATAGTTCATCCGAATCAGATGTTGAACACACGGAGGAGGTTTGATCGCGCGCGCGAACTCGACAATCAACTACTGTGGACTTCGACCGAAAACAGGATAAAGAGATTATTCCTGCCTTCGTGAAAGCTCGGATCACAGTTAAGACTGATATATCAGCCCAGGCATCCACGATCCATTGGCAGATAGTGGCGTAAGTCGCCCGGCGCTGTCTCCCCGTCTTGGTGAACGTGTGTTCACCAACCATGTATAAGGCGCTCCGAATTATAAGGCGCACTGTCGTTTTTTGAGAAAATTAAAGGCTTTTAAGTGCGCCTTATAGTGCGGAAAATACGGTATATAAAATTAACCATAAAAATCCGTCTCACAAGACCGAAGCAAGACACACACAACTTGACGCAAGTGACGCAGCGGTAACCCATAGCAACGCGTTATAGCAACAACTCCTCAGACTGACAGAAACGTAAAAATAAACGTGAATTTAGCCCACTTTAGTTTTGTACACATTGTCATGTTAATTATAAGCAAATAATTTTTTTTATTGACAAAAGGTGCTATAAAATTGTTATTATTATTTACAGTTCGTATTATGCTCTGTTCATTACTGTTCTGTCTAAATAAACAGGACATTTGCATTTACATTTGGGTTATGCAGTGTTTTTAAATTATATTTTACACTGGAGTGCCTTGAGATTTTATGCACTTTTGAAAGGTGCCCTGACTGAAAAAAGTTTGAGAAAGGCTGGCTTAGAGCACCTTTAATTTTGCTCATTATTACATGTGCAGGTTGTATGACCTCAATAATTATTTGTAGACTCCATTAAATTATTTGCACTTTAATAAAAAATGTTTGTCACACTACACATCTATTTAAATATATATATATATATATATAAATATGGTGGGAAAACTGGTGACGAGTTACAGGACTGAAATATACCTTGTCATTTACATAAATTTTAACCTAAAACTCAAACTTAAAATGCATTAATTGATGTGATATTCTAAAAGCAGATTCTTTTTTTTTACTGATACATGATTTTATAATCTCTGAAAGCACCCCCCACCCCCCCCACCCACCGATTCAATATGTATAGAGAATCACCAGGGTAAGCTTTTTATTCAACTAAACCCAGCCATTGGATCAGGGCTATTATAAAGTCATAGTTTTTGCCATTATAGGTTAAAAACATTATGCAAGGCCTTATGTTATGCAACAACAATATGAGTGCTTTACTAATCTTTGCATAAACTGCAAATTAGGTACAAATGGGTGCTCTTTTGCTTTTCAGAGCTTTAATCTTAATCACTAATGTTGTATACACAAGTTCTAGAATCTCTTATGCTATTTTTTTTACTGAAAACTGAGCTGACCTTGTTTTAAGGATATTTTTACTTGTAAATTATAAATTATTATTGCAGATATCTCAAGCGTGGAGTTTAGATTCTGAATCTGATCACACCGAGAAAGACAAACTGTATGAAACCTCAATGTGTTTTTTAATGGGTCAGTGAGCCTCTAATTTCATGACAATCATAAGTGGTTTTTAGTGTATGGACACTGAGGCAATCGATTTAAAATCGATCTTAATTTAAATACCATTTATACCTATATGTAAAGGTCAAATGCTTATGTCAGATGGACTGACATTAGCAGTCTGTGTTTCCTCTAATGCTGATGTCTGTCAGATTGCCAGATGGCTCATGGAAAGAAATGAGGCTGTTGGTACTGTTTTCAGCAGAAATCGTTCCAAGCTGTGCTGTTCCGGTCCTGTTGTCCTATCAAATTCTGCTGAGAGACTGAGCGTTTAAAATAGACACAGGCATATTAGTTTCTCTCCTTTTGGCGTAAGATCAGCATTTTCATAGGCAAATGGACTCATTAAAACAGTCAGCAAAAACGTTTTTAATATTCAATATATCATCAACAAATGTACAGAAGCATGTGGAATAGTTTCCATTTCCATTCATTTTTTTCTTCAGCAAACACAATGGAGCAAAAATCCAATGAGATACTTCAGCATACAGTGACAATAAAAGTATCCTGTTAGACAAGAGACAAGGGTTTTAGAACTGTTGGAACTTGTTCTGTGAAACAAAACATTAAATAACAGTAATTACAGAATAGGCAATTTTTAAAGATTGCAATAGAACTTTGCAAAGCACATTAAATAGGCTATATAAATTCAAAGTGTGATATATTCTTATAATGTTCAAACGTGTTCAAAAGAATACAGTCAAAGGTTCAATTTGTGAACCCTACTTTAACCAGAAAAGCTTCACTTATACTGTTGCTCAGTAACGGCCTTTGCTATGTTTCACTTGAAATTGTCCTCGTGAGTCGTGACTCGAAAAAGAGCCCCGCCGGGTTGGAAATTAACGGGGCTTTGGGGCA